TACCTGGGAATTGAACATAGGTATTTCACCTAGTACCTGGTGCAGTGCCTCAGAGCGCCGTCAACTGTTTTCTGCGTATTATGCTTGTTTCAAGAGTTAATTTTCTTGCAGCTTTTGCAGTTGAACGGTGCTTTTAAGAAAACGTTATTCCCTAACAATATTAAAGAAATGGCCTAAGTGAAATCCATTTGGATTCAAGGAGGCCCTCCAGAGCCCTAATGCTCAGCTAATCAGCCGATCGTTGGCACAGTGGGTTGTGACTGTCCCCTTGCAGTGCGGCCTCTGGAACGGCTCTGGCTTATGGAGCCCATGCCCACCTGGCAACATTCTAGCCCTGGCTGTGTCTGGATGTTCTCCACGCCAGGAGGAACCAAATTAAACGCAGTTGTTTCAGTGTGAGGTGCTGCAAAGCCACAGCGGCGGCGCGGTCCCCTGCCACCATGCACGGTCCTGAGAGTCCAAGGACAGCTTTCCCAGGCACACAACCAACATTCACTTCAACACACAGGAAGTGGATCCCCAGCCAACTGCTTTAGAGGGCTTTACAAGTGGAGACTTAATATCTGTCCTCCATGGGCTGTTCCAAAACTGTGCCCTGTCCACCCGCCTTTTCCCAACTCTTGTCTTCAGATGCTCTGGGAAGCAGCAGATGCTGGACCACCATGGGGACCTGCTGCAGTTAAAGGTGAGAAAGTCCCCATTCATCAGCACTGGGCTGTGTCCTGGGTCTTAGTGTAGGGGTGAGAGCTTGTGCTCTGGGACCAGGCCGCCTGGGTTCTGTGTGGTCAGTGATCCTCTGAGCCGTATACTTAACCACTCGGGGCCTCTCATGCTCAATTAGCAAAACCAAAGGTGTGTAGGATTCTTGAGATGAATACAGGTAACTTGTTTAAAACACTGTCTGAAACAGATTTCCCCTGTTTTCTGTTACTGAAAACTGTGGTCTTGAACTGCTACAAAGATTCTAAGAAGGTTTACGGATGATACCAGAGACAACTTTTAGTGGCAGCCAGCTCTCCTTTTTCTTCCCTAGGAATCTCAAATTAGGAGTACTTTTAGGGGACTTCAGAGCTTTAAATTCCCCAAACAAAGAGTAAACAAATGTCTCAATTTTCTGCACTAAACCTTGACCATATTCTAAGTGTTTTATGTACATGTTGACCTATAATCTCTCTGGTCACCTATGAAGTAAGCACTACTGTACCTATTATCCCAAGGAACTTAGCTTCCTCTAGAGAGAGTGTGATCACCACACTGGGCTTTAATACTCTCCTCACTACAGGTAGTGTTGATATTAAAATGCAGGAAGCCCCATTAAATTTGAATTTCAGATTTTAAAAAAAATGATATTTTAGTATAAGCATATCCCAAATATTACATGGGACACCCTTATTGCTAAAAAAGCTATTTACTTGTTTATCTGAAATTAAAGTTTAACAGGGAGTCTCATATTTTTATTTGCTACTGCAGGGATGTAAGTATCTTCTGGGTGCCAAGCACTGGGCTTAGCCCTTAATACAGTTTATCACGTTTAGATCCTACAAGAGCAAGCCATGGAGAAGGTCAATTATGGAGCAATTTATATACCGCTTTGCCAGCTGGTCTGATCTTTCACCCGGCATGCTGATTGCCAACCTCACTTCTGGCATTAGGGCATTTTGTCATATCACAGCAGATTGTTCACATAATTAACCTTTAACTAGGCCTGTAAGATTCTCCAATGGTGAGCTATAGGCAGGCTATTTAAAAATCCCCGCCCCTCCCCCCCCAAAAATGAGAAGCAATCTGAAGCAAACAAAAGAACTTTGGATTTAGTCACACACAAAATTCAAGTGCAGAGTTTTCTACTGGCTGTCTCTATGAGCCTCAGTTTCATCGCCTGTAAATTTAATATTCTCCCCACAGGATACTGGGGGATTAAAGGAGGACTCTGTATAAGTGCCTTGCTCAGTGTAGTAGGTAGCGAGTGTTCAACAAGTGACTGCTTCCTACTCTTTCTCTTTCCATCCTTCAATGATAGGTGATAAGTATGAAGACTTTAAATTCTTTTCATCAGTCATGTCCTGAGAGAAACCTTGTTCTAGAGTTTCTTATAGTGAGACCCATGTTGATAACCAACATCTGGGAAGCTTGCCCAGGAGCTCTGCCAGCTAGGCTGAAATGTCCAGGGTGGGAGGGGGGTGGGGACAGGGTGAAGCCAGTTTCCAGCTCAGGCTCACCTTTGAATTGGTGTCATTTGTTGTGTCCATGGGAATTTTTCCAAGGTAGAGTGGGGACACCAAGGATCTCGAGGCTGGGATTTTTATCCAGGTGTCTGAAAGAGGATGGATATAAAAAATGTAATCTAAAGCCTTGTCCCAAGGAAATGTTGAAACTCAAGTTACATCTTTATAAGATTTGGAAAATGAGTGTATCATATTCTGGTCAAAGTGATGAGTGGTTAGCTCAGGATTTCCCTTTTATGTGTTATTTGTAGAACCCACTGCTGTGCCAATGGAAGGATGGCTTGGTGATAAAATTTGCCTGAAAATGGCAAGTAATCCTTGTGACAACGCCCACCCCCAACCAAATCCTCTGCTGGAGCCACCGTGCAAGGACTGCTGTACTATGCAGGCAGGGTGAAAGTCAGTTCTGGTCTAGCACAGATTTATTTATCCAGAGCCATTCCATATGGTGCGCCTCCCTCATCAGAGCTATCCTTGATTTCTAAGACCAAGAGCACTGCTGAACACACATCAGCACGTGCCCTCTTTCATCTAAGGGTGGCATAAAGGAAATGAATCTGAACTTCAGTTTAACTCCCTCAAGCAACTGGTTCAAGGCTAAATTTCATTTCCCTCCCTTATCCAGCCCTTGTAGCATCTGCAGCATGATATGAAATTTGCTTATGAAATAAAGACAAACACGAGCTTGACAGAAGTGGCATAAATAATCAATCCTTTGTATATTTATATAACAGCCAGGTGCAGCTCATGGATGATCACTTCATACTTTATTTCTTTGCTTTTCCAAGAAATTCTGATAGATGTAGTGGGGCCGTTTGACATCATCTGGGCATGTCGCTCATATATGTCTTGAAAAATAATCAACTGCAAATCAGATCTAGTGCATGTGGAGGAAAAGCAGAAATCTAAGGAGAAACATTTTCAGAGTAACCAACGATTGGCATTTTATAATCCTTATTTGATTAATTTCCCAAACTTTTTAAAATGTGTGTACATTGCATTACAGTTTTATGATAGAAAGTCTAGTAGAAGGAGAGAGAAACATTTTATGGGATGAGCTCATTGGTGAGGTTTCCAGCCTCAGTATGCAATCCCCAGACACCAAAATAACTTGGGACCCATTCAAATATTCTCAGCAACACATGAGAAATGCCAAGTTCCGCAGAGCACGGTGTGTGCTACGTGTTTGTTGAATACACATCTTCACAGCAATATGGTATTCCATTTATTAATTCTGTGTGCTGCAGATGGCTTCATTATGTGTGCTTAATTTTAGTGCTTAAGTAAACATACACGAAGGGTACATAAGAAATACTCGAGATATCCTTAAACAAAAAGCAAAGACTGTGTAATGGTGCAGGAGAGCCTGCTGGGAGGAAATCTATTCTAAAACAGTTTGGGGAAAATCTCTTCAAAGGCCTTGAGTGTGTGTGCCTCCTTATTTGTGATGAGGTGGAGAGTTGGAGGGGGAGTAAGATACTAATCAATGAGGCTGTAATTTGCAACGGCAATTACAGTGATCCTATTTTTCGCACAATAATTGCCACATGTTGACTGTGCAGATGTCCAAACACATGGGAGCACTTCTCTTTCCATAAGACAAATGAAGATTTTCACTTTGTTTGGTAAACGTGTCAAGATTTATCACTTTAGTCATGTGCCATACATTAGGGTGTTTATAAAATATGGCTTTCTGCACTCTGGTTATGTAGTTTTATGATTTCAACAACATGGCAGTGATGAAATCAATGTTTGCAAGATTCAAATTTGTCCCAAGTCTCAGAGTGAACTGTGGGCAGCAGTTCAGTGCTTCAAAAGAAGAGAACAAGCAATCCCCACCTATAGATATACACAACAGCCAGATGAACATTCCTCAGCTCCTGTCTTCTGTGTCTGGGAAAATGGTGACCAAGTAAAGTCACCTTTTCCAATAAGCTTTGACTGAAAAAAGGCCTCCGTACTTGGAGCTTCTGGTTTTTCACTGTAGACTGGCCGTAGTAGCTACTTCCAAAATGCAAGGTGATTGAACAGAATATTAAACTCCTGTGCGATGCAAAGATGAAAGTAAGGGGAGTGTTCTGAGAAGACAGTGAAAACAAGTCAAAGACAAGCCCAGAAGTATTTAACTGTATGTCTGTGAAATCTGAGGACAAAATAAAACATTTCAAAAAAGCACAGATTCTGCCTTTGGTCCAATGACAGGCCAAGACTTGTCTGTTAGAACAGAACTCATACTATTTGGGACACTCTCTTTCTGGGCCACAAACTAAACTAATCTGAATTTTTATGGCTTCTCCAGAATATGCTCAGTGCACAGAAGCTATGCTTTTTAAAAGAACCTGAAAACACATGCATCGATTAGGAAGATATTGATTTATATCTTCAGCTTAATATTTAGGAAAACTCCAAATAGCCAAAGTAAGAGCTGGCTTTTTATTCTCTCAGCTTCACAATGAAGCTTAAGATTAAGAGGAAAGACAGTATTCTAAAAGCTCCTTGGATCTGGGATACATTCATTCTCTGCATTGTCCCAGAAGTATATAATTTCACAAAAATGGAATAGGATTATTATTTTTTAATTATGGAAGGGAGAAAGTGTTGTAAAACAAGGAAAATAATACTGTCCTATATTATGTCATAAATTTCCAGTGTGAATATCTTTTTCTCCTCAATCAGACTATAAAATCTACAAAAGCAGAGAATCCTTTGGATTATCTTGAATCTTCTTATACTGCTAGACATGTGGTTGACAGGTCTTAACTATGTATCGGTAGAATACACATATCAATTTTGTTAAGCACTGTATGCTTATTATTTAACACAGTACCTGGAATAAAGTAGGAATTTATAATGTTTGTCAAATTGATGAATGGCTGAGATTCCTCAGGCCAGGGGAAAAGAGTCGTGGCACAATGGAAACCCCGATGATTGATGCATAGGAACAGTTGCGAGCATGACCCAGAAACATTTAGGCTCTAGCCCAAGAAAAGGCCAGAATTTCCTTTAGATGGCATGGTATGTATCATCCGACAACTCCTTGTCTGTAGTTAGAACCAGTGCGAGGCAATGTTTCCGTCTTGGACACTCCATTTGCTGTAAAGAATGAGACAGAAAGTCTTCAGAGTGCTCAGTATTAATGGAAAATGTAAAGCATTTGTAGCAGCTGTGAAAACCTTTGCACCATCCTCTGGAGGACCATCTGTGAAGATCTGGTTTTACCCCACCAGTGTTCTTTCCTGCTCAGGTATTACCTGCAAAATGCCACTCAATATTATGAGCACCCTGGTAAGCTTCTCCAGAACATTCAGGAAAATTCTTATAATGTAGAGTTGTAACTGGAGAGTTAAGTGGCTCTGGCTTTGGGAAATAACACTTGCCATTACCTTATAAAGAAGTCAACCTAGAGGAATGGAATTCAAAAACCAAACTAAAGGAATAATATGGAAGAGATGAGCACATGCGCAAACACTGCCTAATGCTTTAAGACTAAAGATTTTGGGAAAATTAATAGCAATTGATCATTCTTAAATATTTGAAAAATATGTTATTACTACTTAAGGAGAAATGTAATTGTCTTATGTATGTATCACCATGATGTGAAAGAAAATATCCCAACGGTTGTGAAGGTAGCAATCGGTAATTTCTGGGAGAGAATCCCAAAAGAGAATTGTTTTTCCATGATGGATTTTTTAAATAGTGTACAGGAAAGGCAAATGTAACTAATATGTAAAAACAAAACAAAATAAAACAAAAAACCAGCAATGTATTTTTTAAAAATTGTTTACCCCCGTCTTACATCTAGTCTCTATATAGAGAACTTTTTTCAAAAGCCAAACACACAAATACTCAACAGATGGGCAAAGGCCGCCTTGAGGAGGGCTTAATGTAAACACCTGTCCTTCTTTTCTGTGTTGTCCTCATAATTTATGGGTGTTTCAGATGATAATGGGGCATTCTTGTTTGGAAGATATAAATGCTCCCATTCTAAAGTAAATGCTAGTATTTCTGGTAGATTTTTACTACCATTGAAGGACACTGGGGAAGATGATGAGACCCTTGATGTTGGAGGGGAAAAAATGATGAATTCTGTTATATTTCTAATCAGATGCATTCTTTACAAAGTTTTGTGAAAAGTTGGGATAGCAGAGACAAAGAATTCAGACATTCGTTTAATGCATGGAAGAATAACAAATATATTTTCTTGGGAACTAAACAGACACCATAAACAAATAAAGGCTTAAACTGGTAAACAAAAAACAAACAAGAAAAACCCACTACTGTACTAACATTGTTCTTCTAGATACTATCAGTTTTTCCTATTAGTGTCTGTAATACCAATAAATTTATATGGATCTTATATTTTTTAAAGAATCATAAGTTGTTCTCTATAAGAATTTTGTCAATACATATGTTCTATTTTTTATACTTCAATATATACACTTTTCTTACATTGGGACTTTGTTGCAAAGAGTCAAAATTCTTGCATTATTATTATTATTTTTGGACAATTTGCCTTTTTTGTTTCTTAAATTCAAAATAGCCATATAAAATCCCCATGGAAGCCATAAAGATGTCCCTCTTTGGTTTATCCCCCTTTTGGATGGCATGCCATTGTGTGTACAGTTGGGGGTGGAGCGTGCATGGTACAAAAAGCCATTACTATCTTTTATCACACAAAGAATGTAAAGAAATCCAGGCAACATCCCAGTACAAAAGCCTGACCTTTCTGGCCTCTGGGGCCTGAGGCCTTAGACAATCATCCAAGCCCGGATCTTTCCCGAGAACTGCTGCAGGGAAGATCTGAGACAGGACAGATACTGCATCTTTTAGAAGCAAAGTCTGAGCTCTGAGGATCTAACAGGTTCTAGCTATGCAAAGAATGAGGTTGACCGCTCATTCTCAAGGTAACTGAATAAAGGAAAAAGTCAGCAGTACAGACCTTAATTCTTTAAAATTTAAAAGCTAATTTTGTGTCTTTTAGTCAATTTCCTGCACAGGAAGGAAAAATTTATTAACTGCCTTCTGGTATTAAATGGAGTGCTAATGGGTAAGTACAACAATTCAACAGGTGCTAAGTAGATCTATAGAGGCATTACATCAATATTAATCATAATGCCTTGCAAATGCATTTGTAAAGTGATAGCTTTTTTTCCCTCCCCCATTGAGTTTTCTTTTGGGGAACTATCTCACTCCAAATAATAGTATGGCTGTTATATCTTATTCTGGAAAACAGAATGCTATACAGTTTCGTTTATGCATTCATCCCCCCATGGAAATGTTATTGCACAGGGAGTAGGCAAAATCAATTGTTTAGCTTTTAAAAAAACAATAATGATGAAAGGAGTTAACAGGATGAATAAGGTTTAGGGAGAAATCCCCTCATTCTGAGTCCAAGATTACAACCCTAAACCATGAATATTTATGTAGAGTGCACTCACATGCACTATGAGAACTTGGAAGCAATGACTTCTCTATAGCAAAAAGATGAATGTTTGCTGTTTTACATACTGTGTTCTATTTTCGTTCTTCATCTTATCTCTAGAAGGTTAGCCTGATTCAGTTGTCAATGGCAATGAAACAGATAAAGCTACAAATTTTATAACAGTTTGTGAAAAAATTAAGGCCACTAATTAATGTCATATCCAATGAACTTACTTGGATTAAGTTGTTCTCTAGTCTGGATCAGGTGCCACTCAGAAGAACAAAAGAGAGATTTCTTCTATAATGAATTTTATTTGAAACCACACAGTGGGGCCATTTATTATTGTTACAGAAGGAATTCTTTCACCAGTACCCCTTGCTGCATCCTACTCTTAGTCATTTTTTCTGTACCAGCCACTTCTAGCCTCATGTTCTCCTTCCTAATGGAAAGAGAGAGGACCTCAGATGGAAATCAACTAGGCTTTTGAGTAATCCTAATTTCTTCAGGATTTAGTGGGGAGGGGAAAGGAGAGTAATCCATTGATTCTTTTTGGTTGTCGCCTTCACATTTCTTTGAATGTTAGGATTTACCTCCACGTCCCTTTTCAGCAGTGAACCTCTTCCCTTTATTGTTAAGGAACAAGAAAGGCTAGAGGACACTTGGAATGGAAACTTCATTACTGAGTGAAATTGGAATCTCAGGCATGGGATCTCGGGCATGATCAGAGGGCGACATAGACAGAGTACTATGAAATTTTAAAATAATGGAAAAATTAGGAAAGTGAAAATTAAAGAAATAAAGGCCTATTTCCCTGATCAATGTTCACACTTCCTCCATGTAGGCCACCATTTGGAGACATAGGAATTTGAGATAAGGGGAGGTCAAAAGGGTAGGAAAGATTTTAGGTCATACTATGCATCCCTAAAGGCCTAAAGGCTCTTTTGAAATTCGTCCTCAGACAAACATGTTGTATAATCACAGACACTAAAGATGGAAAACATTTAAAAAGTTTTTCATGACTACACACACCGGCTATTAGTCAACGACATACAAGTTTGTCAGGAGGCGTTTAGGCAGAATGCAATGACCGCAGTGACCATTTTGTCACAAACATCCCTTTTTTCAAATACTGTATCAGGCAATCTTTAATGGTCTTATGTTTGGAAACATAAATCTATTGAAGCATGACATTTTAATTCCTGAGAGAAAATGTCCCTATGTTGTAGTATGAAAAGCCAGAATCTTGGAACTCAAAGTTCTGGAATTAAAATTCATATGAGGGACTTCTAATTTGTACTAAAGATACAAACCCTGATTTAAAGTATAAATATTCAGCTGCCTTGTAGATTAAAAATATACCTTTTCAAAGGGATGGTTTGCCTGTGTATACTTCACAATAATATTTTTTGTATATTTTTCTAAACTAGCACTTAAGTAGATTAATTAAAGCTTTATCTAACATCATACTACTTACTCTGGAGTTATTTATTTCCCACCTAAGAAAAACTAAGTTTCAAACACTTAAAAAAGAGGGAGAGAGAGAGGGAAAAATAAAATAAGCCAAAAAACAAGCATACATATATACACACACACATAAAATAATTGTTCATCCTTAGAGAAAAATTTTCTTTTTAATTTCAAGTTTCTAACTAACTGAAGTGAAAAATAACAAGCTTACACTGAGAATAAATTCAACCAAGTAGGAGGAACTTGAGAAGTAATAGCAGTGGAGTATAAATTACATGCACATACAGACATTGCCACACAGATATAAATAATCTTGCTTCAAATGGGCCATAAAGTTTAAATTACTTTCCACACCAACAAAATAAGACCCAGGATTGGAGGGGAGGGCAACACAAAAACAAAAACAGAAAACCAACTAACCTTGGTTAAAATAATACTGTGACACTCTAAGGAAAACACAAAAGAAGTAGTAGTTGATAACTTAATGGTTGCCCTGGGTTTTCATAAACATGTCACTTTCAACATTAAGAATATCATTAGCTTCTAAATTCCCAGAGTTGAGAAACAAGAGGGGTAAGGGTAGACTCTTGAACTTTCACCTTCTTGAGTCTCAAATTGTTATTCTTAGGATATAAAATTTGTGTAAGACTTTTACCATGAGAACATAAAAAGATCAGTAGGAATCATTGAGGTTTCCACTATTCTTTTGAATTATGATCAAAAGATGTAATTAAAAATTTTCACACCTATTGAGTTTTCACAGTATTCAAGTACTTGTTTCTGTAAAATAGTAAATAATTTCACAGTGTTTTAAAGACTGAGTTAATAAAGTGAGAACCTTAAAATCTTCTGTAAAAATCACAAAGGCAATAAATATATGACCAATGGAGGAAAAATAAAAAATGTAGAAACATGAAGGAAAAAAGAAGAAGAGAATTGAATTTAACCTTTGTACTTTGTTTCTCATGTAAATTTTTTTGTGGGCAGGGAGGGATCATCTCCTCATAGACACACCGGTACACACATACATGAAATCGTGTTATTCATAATATTTTACAACTAGATATGTCTCTTAATATTATAACATGAATAATTTTCACACATTTAATATACTTCTATATATTATTTCTAATGTTTAGATAATACTTCATTATATGACTTTCTATGATACCTGCATACAATCTAATATTTCCATAAATCTGAGTTTTTTTTCAACCTTTACTATTAAACATACTATTGCAATGATTATTATTGAATTCATGTTTTAGTGAATATGCCCAACTTTCTACCTGTAGAATACATTCCTAAAAGTGAAATTTCTAGGTCAAATCATGTTACCGTTTGGAGAGCATGTCTCACTTTGTACCACCATACACAAGGCATCACTGTCTTACACTAATTAATGTCAGTCTGAAAAAGTAAAAGTTGTAACAAATTATTTTAATTTACTTTTTTTACTTATTAAGTTATATCTGTATTCATAAATGTGCTGAACAATTTTCTATCAACATGCTTGTCATTTTCTTATTGTATTTTAAGACTATTTTATTTACAAAAGATATTATCTTTTGGTGAGTGAAATGTTTCGAATATTCTACCCAGGCTTTTATTTGCCTTACATTTTCTTATAATGACATTTTAATTCAAAACTTTTTTTTTCTAATGTAATATCAATCATCATTCTTTTGGTTTCCCACTTAGAAAGAATGTGCCGTTGCAACAATTATATCTAACATTTATTGAAAGCTTACTCTGTGTTCAGAGACGTGTAATAGAATAAAAATAATTATTCATTTATTTCTTCTTTGCTTTTTCTTCTTTTTATTTAAATTTTAATATCTCTGAAATTTATTTTGGTAAATGATGTAAAGAAGAATCTAACTTTATTTTTTATTCAATGATGACCATTCAGTCTAAGAGGATTTAGTGAATAATTCAATTGTTCAAAATTTGAGATGAAATGCCACTTTTATCATGCATTTTGACAGCAACATGCAAAGTAATCAAGTGTCATACATGACATTCTTATGTGACATGTGAAGACAATATTGTTAATTTCAAGTTTTAGAAACATAAGTGCATAGTTGTGACTTCTGTAACGTGTATGTTTCTTAGAGAAGTTCATTGATGTTAATAAGAAAGTTAAACCTTCTTTTACACTTATTTTGCAACCTCAACTCTCAACTGTATGTAAATTTCAACCCCAATAATATAAAATAATGCTGACTAGTATTTTTACTATAAAAATTATAACTCAAATCAGTGGCATAAATCTTGTCCTAGTCATTCCAATGGGACTCTACCCTGTGAAAATATTGTATGTTTATGTTGCATATCAAGGTATTAAAAAAGCCATATTGCAAATAATACCAGCTTGAATGCAATTTATAAACCTTATTTTATGTGTGTGAAAATGCTAAAATACTTTATCTCAGATGAAGAATTAGCTTCCTGTCAGGAAAAATTTAAATTAAGACTTCTTGGTTTACAACTTGGCAAAATCACATCTGAAACCCATTTTTTGACGCTCTATAAATCAACGGAGCTTAGCAGAGTACAATTTTGTTGTTGTTGTATGTAAAAATATTTAGATCTGGACTGGCAGTGTTTCCCAATCGTGCCAAGTAAAAGCAATCACCTAGATATTAAATTCTGAAAAAATAAAAATCAAGGAATATAAATGCACAGATAAAAAAAAAAAACCCAGAAAGAGTATTTCATCTAAGAGTATGAATGTTAAAAATAAATGATGAAGCCGGGCGCTGTGGCTCACGCCTGTAATCCTAGCTCTTGGGAGGCTGAGGCGGGCGGATTGCTCAAGGTCAGGAGTTCAAAACCAGCTTGAGCAAGAGCGAGACCCCGTCTCTACTATAAACAAACAAAAAACAGAAAATCAGCCGGTGTGGTGGTGTGAGCCTGTAGTCAGCTATTTGGGAGGCTGAGCCAGGAGATCTCTGAGCCCAGGAGTTAAGGTTTTAGTGAGCTGTGATGAACACTACTGCACTCCAACCTGGTGACAGAGCAAGAACTTGTCTCCAAAAGATAAGAAAAGAAGAGAATAATCCATATAAAACACTCAGTAGATTGCCAAATAAACACTACATAATAATGTTAGCTGCTATTGTCTGTTCCTTCATCATTATTTTATCAATGAGGGAAATTCATCATAGCTCTATCCTAGGTGGGAGTGTAAACTGTTACAGACTGTCTAAAAGGCAGTAGAGTAATAGATATAAACATTTTAAACACAAAAGTCCTTTCAGAATTTCATGTCTGGGAATTCATCCTCAGCAAATAACTTTAGTAAGTAATCTGACATGTACACTGGGACGGTGTAAACTATTACATATTTGTTATAGAGTTGATCAGAAAGAGAGCAAAGATGAGCAAAGAGAGAGATAGTGTTAAGAGGGAGGAAAAGAGTAGAAAAAATAAATACAGTTACTGTGTTAGGTTTATAGGATTATTGGGATTTTTTTCTGGTGAAATATCCTCCAAAGATGTTGAAAGTTGTTTCGATAATAAATATGAACTATACACCAGGGGCTCTGTGACTTCAGGCAAGTTACTTAACTTCCCTGAACCTCTGTTTGCTCCTAGGCAAAATGGGAACAACAATATTACATATTTTATAGAGTTGTTTTGAAGATTCAATGAGATCATCCCGGCCCTTCAGGATGCCAAGGCAAGAGGATCACTTGAGGCCAGGAGTTTGAGACCAGTTTGAGCAAAATAATAGACACTGTCTCTCAAAAAAAAAAAAAAAAAAAAAAAATGATGAGCGGAATCTGTAGAACATGCTCAACTACTTTTCTTAAAAATATAAATATTAAGAAAGTGAAAAACACTTTTTAATCAAATGTCTACCCACCTTTCTTCACAATTGGTTTCAAATAGAAAATGTGTAGAATTTTCCTTTTACCACTTTACTTTTTGATTTATTTGAGGGAGAAGGAAGGGTTTGTTTGATTGTTTGTTTACCTAGTTAAGAACTGTCTTTAGATATGAGGTTGATTACACTGATGCTTCTGCCCAAGAGTCCTTTGAAGAGTGAAAGTAGAACAGGCACACCCATTGCATGGATGGCTGCAAGAGAACTTTCACATCTATTTCATCATAAATGGAAGGGCAAAGCTTCAGTTTTCCCATTCTTTATGCTACGAAAAGTCGGTTCTGTCATATCAAATTAGAATCACATTAATTTGTGATATATTCTAATAAAAACCTCTTGATAAAAAAAATGTGGAATGTATTTTCTCAGTAGCAGCATAATTTAAAAGGTTAAAGCAAGGACTCTGGAACCCACCCACCCGGGTTTCCACCCCAGCTTTGCAACTTACTGTCTGTGTGACACAGGTAAGTTATTTAATCTCCTTGGGACTCAGTTTCCACTTCTGTAAAAGGAGAGTAAAACAATGATAAGATTGTTATGAGACTTGAAAGGAATGAATATATAAAAGCACTTGGAATACTGCCTGACACCCCTTAGGTTCTAGAAAGGATAAAATTATTAGTTTTCTAACTGTAAATTATACAACTTTTAATGTGGCTTTGTTAGTCCTTTGTAGTTTTGAAATTGACATCAACAAGGTAACTAGGCTTTGCTGTATGCTTAGAACAGAACAGCTTTAAGAAAACGACAGATTAAGAGTCAAGCCAAGCTACCAGATTTAATGCCACTTTTTAAATTTAATTAAATTAATTTAATGCCCCCTTTTTTTGGTACAATCTTATGCTAACCAAAGTCAGTGAGGCATCATACCTTAGGATAACTGAAATAAAGTCCCAAATGTGACTTTATGGGATAACACAAAAATAAAAAATAAAAAAAAATGGTTTTTTTTTCCTTTTCTTAAAATAATACTAAAGAAAAACAAAGCAACTGGTCCATATTTTATTCTTATTTAACCAAAAGATTAGCACAGTGGGTTGCTGGTTTTCTTCTACTTTCTTCTTTTTTATTTTTTTTTAAATTTTCCATTAAGCAAGTTCTTTTAAAACAAATTTGAACTTTTCCCATCCCAGTGATTCCCACGGACAGTTGGCAAAGAATCTTGGATAACTTGCAAAACTGGGATTTTTTCCAGGCATGAGTAACTTGTTAAAAAGCCACTATTTCCTTAATACTAACAGTAAATAGAGTTCACATCCACATAAATCCTCAGTGGCCCATGGGGAAAGTTTTATATGTATGTGTGTGTGTGTGTGTGTGTGTGTATGAAATCATTTTTATTCATAAAACACTTGGCTCTCAGCATGTCTGTTTATATTTCACTTCTTAAAAATAAATACACACGTTTATGCCAGTTGAGGTTAAAAGGTATCCCTTTTCCAGTTGCCTGCTGTGTGCCAATGATTTTATGATGGATGGGTTTAGAATACCTGGCTAGAATTCTTGAAGAGTGTTTCTCTTCTGTTTCTTCTAATTAAAAAAAAAAGGGGGGGGATAAAACTTAATCACTATGTAATTAAAATACATGTTTTGATGAAATTTGATTGTATTGGGAAAGTTCAAATAAATATTTTCAAGACTTATAGGAAAAATTGAATGTGTGATTTTAAATTCAAATAGCAAAGTCAGGTTTTTTTGTGTGTGTGCATAAGGTTGGAGTGAGTAAGTGTTAGTAGTTACTTCTCTGAGTATAAATTTTCTCTTATTTATCAACGGATAGTAATCATAGGACTTTTCCCATTCGCAATGCTTTTTAAAGGACACGTGCTTTTAAATTGCTATTATTAAAATTTGTTGTGTAGACATGTTTAATGAGGCAGGCAGAGGTTAAGGGGACCTTGTAAGGTCACATGGTGATATAGCACTGGGTCAGGGACTAGAACCTACAAGGGGCATTCCTGTCCCATATCATATCCCTTAGGATTCTCTTTATCTGGGTGTTTGACAAACTTCTCTTGTCTTTGCAGTGCTGGACTGGGTATATTTTGATAACAGGCAGTCCCATGAGATATCTTGCATTTCCTGCTTCCGGTCAGATGTTCCACAAGAATAACTTCTCTACATATGTTTTTGCATTTTTGATCACAATCCCAGCTGGAATCAGGAAGTTTGGAGGCAGCATGGAAATGGAAACTCATTGAAAGTCACAGCAGCATTGTTTTGACTTTCAAAAATATTTAATTTTCTGGTGGTCTTGAAGGGAAAAAAAAATACCTCTATCATCTATTATGTACTTAAAACTATGCTAACACTTTAGTTCCTAATTCGAGATACATTTTTGTTTAAAAGAATAGGGTCTCTGTTATGTGGGAAAAGATTTCTCAAGGTCAGGTAACCAGCCATGGAAAGATCTAATGTTAGAAATTTTAAAATTCTTAATTGAGAGCTTAACTGTAGCAACGTTAGGCATTGTCACTAGGCTCAGTCACTTCTTATGCCAGTAAAAGCTGTAACATACTATAATTTCTCTGAGAATATAATGTATTTAACAGAGGATGAAAGAAGAAATAGATAAGTCAATCTTTTAAAAACGCTTAAAGATAAATTCTAAACAATTGCTTTGTTAACTCATTCTAAGAAAAACTATGCTCAGTTCTCTGAGCTTCACTTTGCATATCTGTGATACTTTTGTGCACAGGGGTCTAATTAGAATTAACTGAAAATGTGTATGAAGTGTTTTGATGGTGTTTAAGTCCTAAAATGTGCCAAAAAATGTGAATCTCTTTTCTGATGCTCATCTCTTTTTGGTTACTCCCCTCAAAATGTGGGCTTGAGACTTCTAACAATGTGGGAATTTCAGAAACATCAATAAAACCCTTCACCTAAGCTGGAACCAATTCTGTTGGCTGGTAAGATTCAGAGTTCTGAGTCTTCTCTTCCCTCTGTCTTTTTCCTGTGCTCCACTTGAAACCTCAGGAAGAATTTATTATTTTTGCTGGCACTTTTTGTTGTTGTCGTTGTTGTTCTATTTTTGCTTTTGTCATTTTTAAAAGATATCTTTTTAAATGAAAATTCCAAGGCATCTTTTTTATTTGGATTGGACAACATAAAAAGAAAACCAATATTTTTTGAGGACCAATTATGAGTCAGCCCCTTTGTATCCCTTATCTCATTTAATCTCATTACAGTCCAGTGAAGTAGGTATTCTTAACCCCTTTTACAATGAGAAAAGGGAGATTAGTTGTGGTTAAGTTGGGTCAAGTTCATGGATAGTAAGTAAATGGCAGAACTAGGATTCAAATCCAAGTTTTGCGTACCTCCAAAGACTCTGTTCTTTCCTTGGAATTCTCTGCCCTTCTGCTTCTATTAAAGGGTAGAATTCTGAGCACCTATCATCGAAGTTAATAGAGCAGAATTCTCCAAGAGTAAAATCCCCCAGGGCAAGCAAGCACACTTAGGAATGTGGTTTAAAAATGCAGTTTGAATGCACTTTCAATCAATGTTAACATTCTTGGGTGGGACAACTATATGATGTAGTGAATGCCCTTGCACTCGGAGATGGCCAATGAGGAGGTTTGATGTGCAGAATTTAATATATGTAGTTTACTTTCCTATGATTCAGTGAAATGTTAATCATTGGTGATTCCAACTACAGGGTGTGTAGGTATTCATTGTACTATGATTTCATGGCTCCCATAGACTTGAACAATTTTCAAAATAAAAAGTTGGGGGATGGTTACTTTTGTGCATTTTGGATACCAGAAAATCCTAGTTCACCCACTCTGACCCAAGGAATTAACTTTCCTATATCTTGACTTTATGTCTTCATTTGTAATCAATGTGACAATAACAGTTTTAAAATTCTAATTTATAGAAGACAGACTAGGCAAGCAGATGTTCCTCTGTTGGTGATTATGAGTTTCAATGTTGCTGTGTGTATTACAAACCAAAATGTTATGCCAGGTTTTGGGGTCCCTTGAGTAATAATGAGATAATAAATAGGGTCCCTAGGTACTATTAAAAATGTAGTTCTCCCTGAGCTTGGAGTGTTTGGTTGCTGTCCTATTGCTACCTAGGAACAAGTATATGAGCTTACTCCATGCTGAGTTTAGTTAACTGTAGGACTTTAGGAGGCCCTGGGGCTTTCTTAGGATAGTCATTCATACTTATGAATAAAAGAATAGGGAAAAAAAAAAGGATATGGATTAACACAGGGAAGAAACATTGACAAAATTGAAATTGTGAACCACAATTAGTTGAGCACCTACTATACATTAGTTATTATGGGAGATTTTCTTGCTTGTTCTTTCCCTTGCCTTCCCTTCCTTTCTCTTCAAGGTTAGTATTTATAATGTCCCTTTTACAGGGTGAGAAGTTGAAATTCAGAGTTTTAGTAAAGACTGGGATGTTGTAGATTCAAACTCCAACTACTAGGGTCCACAAACATGTATTGAGTGCCTGCTGTGTGCCAGGGACAGGTACTTGCCAACAGGAGCTTGTACATCTAGTAAAGGAGAATTTACCTTTAGAACTCATGCTTTGGAAGGAAGAAAGGAAGACACACAGGACGCAAATATTTATTTTGCACCAACTATGTATAAAGCATTAGATAAGCATTTATTTGTACATTATGTTTAGGTCAAGCTCATTAAGATATGTTAAAGGAGAAATAGAAGACATGGTTACCTGGAGCTCCTCTTTTGGCTGGAGAAGGCACCTATCGATGTTAAAGATGTACAAATCGAGAGACAGACACCAGGAGTCTGGGTGTCCTGAGTCTAGTAGCATCTCATCTGTAAATGATACCACATCTCTATGTCTTATAGTCCTCATTCAACCTCTTTCATAGACAGACGTAAAGAAGGTTATGCCAGAATATTTAATGAACAGAGTATGCTCAATTAATCTGTATGTAGGATATATTTTTGTTCAGAGCTGATGATGTTCATTGGTAGACCTATGCAGTGTAAAGAGTTCTTATCTTGAAGATAGGGGTAGTGAAATACAGTCAAGGGCAAGGTAGGGTTAGAAAAATAGCAGATTATCTGGTCTTGGGAAGCTAAGATGCAGATAGTGGGTCCCCCAGGAATCTTCTGACCTAATTTCCCTGGATCGGGTAGACAAAATGGACACCAGCTAAGTGGGAGAGTCCTGAAATCACGGCCACTGTCCTGGAATTTCTAAATTCTAGCCAGCCAAGAGGTGGAAGGTCATCCTCACTGTTATTTAAGCCAGAGCAGACAATTGCTATCAGGTGGCACCAGACTGCATATAGAACCTTGATGGATTTGAGTTCTTCAGTAAGACCATGAGAATTCTTGGCTGAATCTCTCTGCAAACCAGCCCAGTTCTCTTCAACAGCCTCTCTGTAACACAACCCCACATTTTATTTTATTGAATTTTACGTCTCCTACTTATCCTACTAGGAAAAGAGTTTTGCCTTTATTTTCTTAAGACTATACAATATCTTTGATGTCTATTTCCTTTCTTTCTTTTTTCTTTCTCTTCTTTTCTCTTTCTCTATTTCTTTCTTTTATAAAAGGGAGAGATTTAAATATGTTAAAAAGCCATCTCAGACATACTGACACCACACTAAAACTTTCTCATTTATATAATTGAGGATCGAGAGAAAAGGAGATAAAACATTATGTGGCTAATTAAAAGCTTAAGAAAGCTCTTTATTTCTGATATGAAATAATTTTAAATATATGTTGCTAAAAGTAAAGCACTATGTAGAATATACTTGCATCCATGTAAATATACACATACTGTGCAAATACATATGTGCATATATTTATTGTATCTGAACAAAAATACCTCTAGAAAGATTCAAAAAAATATATGGGATGGGAAAGGAATAAATGGAATACAGGAGTTAAAGGGTAATTTTTCACTGTATAAACTTTGGAATTCTCAGTCAAAAGAAGGTGCTGTTTATTTAGAAAATAAATAAAACAATATTTTGAAGGAAAAATTCAAAAAGGAGTGACTTTATAACTACATAATTTAAAATATTTATTGTTCTGTTTTTGTTCCACTAGAAATTTCCTTATGTTATACTTTGGAAAACACTTGATATAAGGTATAAAATATTTTACATAGTTTCTGGAACTTTAAAAATAACCAGAAAGTAAACAATACCTACCGTTAGATATAGGTTTGCTTCTTTTTAAAAATAGATCTTCCTTTTGAGATATAGTATGTCTTACACTATCACAACATCCATCAGATAAATGGAGACATTTTCCCAAATACTGGGGAGAGATTTGATAAAGGGGGAAACTGAATGGAATCTGAGAAGAATATTTTAGTAAAACATGGCTGTATCTACTAGGTTTCAAGGACTGGCACTCAGCTGTAATTAATTTCTAAACTATTTTTGCCAAATTAGTGCAGCCACTGTACATTTTTAGCTTCTTAAGCTATCTTGATATTTTTTTATGCCATCTCAAAACTATTATTATATATGTATTATTAAAAAATCCATTTTGGGTATTCAGTAGGTTAAGATGTATGAGAATAAAGCTTTATCCTCCACAGATGCCCCACTTAGGCATAACAATCTAATTCTATTTAATTTAGTCACTGGCATCCTCGCCTTTTCCTGTCAAAGTGAATCAACCTGAGTGCTAATTTTTGAAGCAAAACCTCTGTGATCATTTCACTCGTGATTTAATCCAGATCTAACCTCAGGCCTTTAGAGGTTCAAGGTCAATGACCCAATTTACTCTGCCATCCGCCTCAGTATCTGTAACCATTGTTATTCCTTGCAAGGGTTTTGCTACATACATTATTTCTTCTGCGTTAGGTCCCACCAAATTATGCATGTGGGCAGTTTAAGGTGATTCCGGATTGCAACTTGGAGAAACTTGGCAAGAGGGTTTGGCTCCTCTGGCTTTTGGGAAACACACAGGGAAAAGAGTATTGAATGCAATCTTTGCCTCCATTAGCAGAAGCCAACGAGGAAGAAATTAATTAACTTTCTCCAATGAGAAGAAACTAGTCATTGGCATCCTTGCCAATTGTAAGCTAATTGTTTTCCAAAGAAATCCTGGAGCTTAAACACTCAATATAAAATTAGAAAGGTAATAAAGGTACAGGTAGCATGCTAAATGTTCTTAGAGATGAATGAACATACATGAGCTCAAATCCTGGGTCCTTATTTTACTTTTTTTTTATATATATATGTATATAAAAATAACAACAACAAAAAACTGGTGTTTTTTTTTAGTCTCTTTCATCCATAGCAGTTAATACATTTTGTGAATTTCCTTTTATGTTTTAAATAATTTTTCCTTCCCTGGTGTCTCCCCAGTACATCTGCCGGGAGCAGCAGGCACGTTGGAGAAAGTCTCCTTAAGTAAAGCAGATATCCCAGGGATCCTCGGGCCCCACTAGGGAAATTGCTGCTCCAGGGCTTTACCCCTCCCAGGAGGAGTTAAACTGGGTTTCTGTGTCAAAGATGCTGAATGAAATTGGGGATGGAATTGTTAAAATTGGAAATGACCTATTTAACTATATGCACATTCCCCATGACTGGTATAAATACGTCCAACTTTCTAATTTTCTCATCAGAATGAACTTATCACAGACTTTGATGCGGAAAGTCTTTTTAACAACGTGTGAAAGAAAAAAGAATATGTGTGATTGATCTTTATAAATCTGTATGATCTTTATGACTTCGTATTCTCCCTCTTAATAATAACAACACAAAGATGGCTTAAATCCCACTGAAGCTTGGGGGAGAAAAAATACTAGGTTGGGAGGTGCTAAGAGAGATAATAGAAAAGAGCCTGTAAACCCAAACGATTTATTTTGGCTCCTTTACAGATCAGAAACAGAATGCATAGTTATCTGATAATTACAATATAATGCTACACTGTAAGTTATTTGCCAAATTCTATAGCTGTGTGTGCACAATTCAATTTTTCATAAAATCACATACTTAGAAAATCATGTACTAAATTGCATTTTACCCTTCCTAAATCATTCAATCATCACCTATAAATCTAAGGAAGAGTCCAAATTATTGCTAAGGAAGTTTAACCAATATTCTCTACATATGAAGATTATAGTTTTATTAATGAGACTTGTGTATATCTTGGCATCAATTTATTTGTTCCTTTAAGGAGCATATTTCCAAATCCCCTAAAACCAGAAATGCACAGATTAAGCAGAGCTTAACTGAGCAAAATCAGTAAGAAGGCTGCTGTAATGTATCCCAATCAGACTTTTTACCACGAGATGTAAATGTTTCAGGTAGAGGCCTCTAACGTCTATTCAAATAGATTCTGCATTTAGAACTTAAAAAATGCACAACAAATTTTGCACTGGACTATGGACAAATAAATGTTTTAGCTACAATTCTTCAGATGTGGCATGAATTTCATAAAGAGTTTTTTCCTTTTTTTAACAAAAGAATATTTTGTTTTTATAAAATTGCATTACTTTTTTTTTTTTTTGGATATGTGACCTTTAAGAAAAGATTGTGCTGTATATTTCAGCCACCAAGTATTGAGAAAATTGCATTAACAGTAAAATAATATTCTTACTGCCAAATGTACAAATATTCACTAACAGCAATCTTATTCTCTAAGGCCCCGAGGAGTGCTTCATCATGCTAGCATGGCCACTGTGACAGAAGGCTTCACGGAAATCCATCCGTCCCTCTGTCATTCACAGCCCTCTTATTCAAACCAGCTTGACACCCTCACTGGCTGGCTGACCCGTGGCCCCAACCCCTGCAGTGCTCAGTTGGCAGGGGGTTCCTTGGGGATCTTCTGTCCTGGGCTGACTGGTGACTATCCACTGGGACTGTTCTCCGTGATTTTTTTGGACAGAAGGTGGGAGACACACAGAAAAGCAATCTCATATGCTAATTATAAATAAAACCAACACTGGCACATAAATATATGAATTTATACTGATACTTTTACAAAGAATTTATAGTTTGCAAATGTAATAAGAAATGTATATTTTTAAAAGGTGTGTTATTTGGGAAAATGTTATTTCTTTATGGATGTTTTTTAATCAAGCTACAGAGGAACTAAGGTAAATGTTGATTATGTCTGTGTACCTAAAATTCTATTTGTTTTACAGAATGAATATCCAGGGAGCTAAAGTGAGGATACAAATAAATGGATTGTTTCTGGGTCTTCACTGGAATGATTCTATCTAAATCAATGAAGAGCGTAGTGATGAACCATAGTGCTATTTTGTATGATTTTCATTGGTAACCAATGAATTCAAGTAGAACCCTTTAAAGCTGAACTTTTGATCTTTTTCACAAAATTCAGACAGTCTCAATGCTCTGGGATGTGTGTGTGCATGCATGTGTGTGGCTGTATGTGTGTGTGCTCTTGTTTTCTTTCCCTGTGCTGCCCCAACTACGACTGGGAGGATAAAATCCACAGCAAGTTCATTTCTGGGCCAACTCTGCCAAATTATATGATGTGAATTGATGTCCACTTGGGCTTAGAACAGCAAACCCTGATTTAAGTTCTTAGATTGAACTTGTCTACAACTGTTGGGGTGAAAGGCCAGTTCATACCCATTAATTAGTCTAACCCATCTCAATCTACCTTATTTTATACTTTTCAGAGAATATAGCTATGGTAGGTGAGGTACATTTGTATAAAGTAATACTGCAAAAATCCAGAAATACCATCGTTCCATACAAAATGGTTACTACCTAGCTATGCTTTAATTTTTTTCCCAAGATTTAGAATTTTAGAAGGTTTTGTGTATGAATTCTTAGTGATAATGGAAAAACTTTATGTGAAACAGCAGTGGGCAAGTTATTCTATGGGCACTGAACTAAAATATTAAAATCAGTTAAAAAGGTCACATGATTTTGTTAAAAACTATGGCAGGCTGGAATTCTGGAAAAGAATTTGTCTTAGACAAAGACTTTCCTCCCATTATAGAAGTTCCATACAAGTATTAAATCTCAAAACAAATTAATTCATGCCTATCACTTGAAATTTTTACAATTTAGACATTTAAATACTAGAGTTCCATTTAATGGTATGAACAGGTTGTAGAGATTTGTTAATTTGAAATTTCATTTGGTAACAGATGCAATAATTTGTCTGGCATTAAAACCGAGTTTAAGGTAATCACTGCACTTGCTCTTTTGTTCTAAGTGCTTTACAATCCTTAATTCACATAAAACATCTGTGAAATTTAGTTAGGAGTGTGGTGAGTAAAATTTAATCCCTGTTTTTATACCAGCATGTTCAGAAACATGCTTACATATATTTCAATCTTCCTTGTGTGAAAAATACATGTGGGAATCAACGGGAAAGCATTTTTGTGATATTCTAAACCTTTGGGGAAATATAAGAGTAATGTGGTAAAAGAATTAAAACTATGCCAAGGTAAAGACTATTTCCTCCATTGATTTTGACACCAATTGGAGGAATAAGTGAAGAAACAAATGGACTTTGGAGATCATTTGGCGGCCAAGTACAGCTTTGTTGAAGTGAAAGCGATCAGTTTCTTCTTTATGCCACGGATCAAATATATGCAAAGTGGAACACATTTTTTTTTTTTTTTTGGAATATCACTGTTAGGTAGGAGTGGTGAGTGCGTGTACATCTACCACTGCTCTTACCTCCTGCATCCACTGCAGACAAGACTAATCAATCCTCTCTCCTGCAAGCACAGAGTCTCTTTTTCAGCCCTGAGCGTCTCTGGCAGCCACTAGAAAGGGAGCATTAATTATTATGCAACATGGGGGTAAGGGGGGAACCTTTCTGAAGTTGCTTTGGTAACTTACAATAAAGCAAATGCTTTGGAAACATTTTCCAGTGTGAATATAACAGAAAGGTTGCCACTGATAACCACTGATACAGCTACCAGAGAATTTGACATAGAAGATGCTTCAAGTAAATCTCATCTCCCCGGTTATTAAGCTGGAAATACTTACCTAGCACCTTCTAGCATAAGGCACTGTGTTAGGCACTGAGACAGTGCAGGTATGCACACTTCATGATGCCCCAATCCATTCCACAAAGGATTTGTGATCATAGATATGTATACCTAGGTGTATGCGTATGTATGTGTGTGTGTGCATATGTACGTGTGCGTGAAGACAGGATAACAACAAATAATAGAAGGACTCCTGGTGAAGGAAAAAAGTGGATAGGGGAAGAGTTAGGACAGGGCACAGCCAATACACAAGGAATAACTTGTACCTAACACGAGGTGCTGTAAAATTGCGGGAGTAAAACGAAAATTTTGACTTCAAGTTTACTTTCAAGTGATCAAAATAAAGTGGGAAACTCAATCAACTACAGAGACTTACAAGATAATGCTCTATGAGCTAAAACCAATGAGGAGAGATTTTCCAGATATTGAGATGAGAGGGGAGCATTTTCCCATGGATTCTCATTTAGAGAACATTGTACTATACAGCAGGTGGGAGGTTTGCCAACATCATAGAATAATTAAAATATTCAGTTTGATGTGATTGTTCTTCTAATAGTCCTTAAAGTATACCAGTGACCTAATCCCTGTATGAAATATAGCAAAATCAAGTCTGTGAAGAGGTAAAATATTACAAGAAGAAATGTAGCTCTCTTATGATCTTACTTGAATTCACAGTAAAATTTAGTGAATTGACTTTCAAACCAAACTACCTGCAGGTAGTTCATTCCAGTGGGTGGAGGAGAAGGTAGTTACCGAATCTAGGCAGTAGATGTCCACGCCCCAATTTCCTGACACAGAAAACTTTAGTCTTTGATCTGAGTAACACATGAGATTCATGGGTATTGCATTTCACATTAATATACTTGGTAAGGATAAGAGAGCAGAAAATGTAAAGTAGTAATCTTGGGCAAGGACCTGGGGTGCAGGTACGATGTAGAGCTGATTAAAGGAGCATTCTAACACTTTGACAACCCATCCTGGGTGGAGGAATGAGAAAATTCTCTTATCATATGGCAGATATTCTCTCTCTCTCTCTCTCTCTCTCTCTCTCTCTCTCTCTCTCTCTCTGAGATAGAGTCTCGATCTGTCGCCCTGGCTTGAGTTCAGTGGTGTCATCATAGCTCACCGCAACTTCAGACTCCTGGGCTCAAGCAATCCTCCTGCCTCAGCCTCCCGAGTAGCTGGGACTACAGGCATGCACTATTAGAGAAGACAGGGCCTCACTCTTGCTCAGGCTGGTCTTGAACGCCTGAGTGCAAGTGATCCTCCCACCTTGGCCTCCCAGAGAGCTAGGATTGCAGGCATGAGCCACCACACCTGGCCCAGGCAGAGGTTTTCTCTACCTCAGCCTAGAGGAAGGCAAACTATTCCTCAGGAACTGTTCCTAGTCTGTCCCAGATAGGAAAATTGGCCCACATGCCCCCAGGTTCTACTTCGCAGAAGAGTTTTCTCCAGGAAGCATTATTTCTAAAGGATGACATGGATACTCCGTGATCAAACAAATTCAGGAATCAGTGGAATTAAACAACGTTCAACAAGTTATTTTCTTGCAGGATTTCTCAATGCCTTTACTTGGCTCATGTGGGCTGCAAATCTCCCAGAATAGTCAGGTTTTCTGATGCTGATTCAATTATGGGTCCCTCTTTTTATGACCAAGCTTTCTACTGCACAGTCTTACAACACATCAGTAAGTGCTTTAGCCTAGAACATTTCCCTAGTGGGCATTTCCAACGCCATCAAAAATCTCAATACAATTCTTCAGGTACATGTAACACCTTGCCTTCCAGGTACAGTGCTTGAGCACACAGCCTATAGACGGGCTCCAAATTCCATAAATAAATCCTGGCCCAACTGTGACCTTGGACAAGTTCTTTTGCTTTACTGAACTTTGGCTTCTTTATATGTGAAATGGCAAGAATGAGGCTCACCTTACAGGTTTACCATTAATAATGTGCAAACAGCACTAAGCAAAGTGTCTAGGATTTCATGGTTCCCATGAAGGGCTAATAGAATGCACAGGGAAGCCAGGGAGGGGTTTAGAAGAAGGTGATGTCTAACCCGAATCTTGATAAATGGATAAAAGTTTTTCAAGAAAAGAGAGAAGCTGTGGAAAGAACACAGCAAGGCTGCCCCTGCCAGGACTCTGGTTGCTTCGTAAGATGTGCAAGAAGTAACAAGACACTGAACAATTTCTCGTATGTTGGAAATGGCTGAGGTGTAAAATCGTGGATTTGGTTGCTAGCATTTTTGACAATATCAATTTACATGTTCCTTCACATTAAAATCTAGCTCTATTTTAAACGTGAAAACCAGACTCATTGCTTCTAAACCAGATTATTTACTTCTTAATTGAAAGGAAGAAAATATTCTATGAAATAATCTAATAGAAAAATGACCACATGATAGGATTTGAGCTTATAGTTAACATTTAAAAAAAAAAAAAGACTAATAGCTTTTCTCCCAACCCTGCTCAATATTTTGGCTCTAAGCAAATCGTGAAATCAAGTAAAGATTCACAAAGTGTTTTATTATTCTTTTCCTTCTAAAGCCAGAATAATTAGTTTTAGGAAAGAAAATATAATAAAGGCAAGTATTGTCTGACTGATGTTTCCATCTCATTTTTCTCTGCTTCTCATCTTCTGCCAAATTCAGGAATAGAGTATTGCTTTTTGGATTCTTGAGCAGGAAGAAACCAGGGAGATGATAAGAGGACAAATGAGTGTTAGACTCAGTGTTTCATGCCTCAAAAATGTCTTCTTTTATTTACACATGGTAAGAGGACTTGAAAAGACCTCAGGCAGGATATCTGATTCTCCGGAGAACTCCTCAATGCCTAGATCATGTGTTTGAATCTAGAATATAAAACAGCATAGGCTAAAATAATACACAAGATCAATGGAAATTTTCATTTGAACAATACCTTTGTTATCCCATTTTACGTTATAAATGATGCCTTGTATTTTAGCCTGTTCACAGTTTAAAACTTATAAATATTATAAAAGTTATATTGTTCTATAGACCAGACTAGTCATTAGAGTAAGACGGTCCCATATAAGGAAACAAAAGGTGGCTTAGCAAATTCACACAGTGATCAGGAAATCCACAAAATTGAGTTGCCAGGATCTTTGGAAGAAATCATGGTGAAGTTTTAAAACATTTTGCTGAAAACTAGGTTTGCTGTATTTATATATTCAGTTCATTAGCTCATTGTCAGTTCATCATACAGATATAGATATCTATATAGATGTATGGATAACAAAGTGATGCTATGGATGTTAAATTGTGGACTCTCTCAGAATAGCATAGTCAAGAGAGAAAATCAGGCCCAATACATTGGCAAGTGAGTTAAACTTTCATTCTCTGTTTCTTCATATTTAAACAGGGATAAAGTACACACATTCTATCTCCATCACAGAGAGTTTGTGAAAACCAAATGAGATGATGAATGTGAAAACACTTTGAAAGTCATAAAGTCATATTATTAATATTAATACTATTATTACTCAATTCAGTCACTTTTTAGATCACTGAGAATCTTTCTGAAGAAGGGAAAGCTAAAGTCAACTGCCAAATTAAGATTAAGGATTAATCTGTGAATTTTTTTCTTCTACCAGATATCCCTGGTAATTGAAAGTTGATGTATGATTCCATTTGTAAAAATGGGAAGAGAAGCTCTGACACTGTCTTACTGAGTTTTCAGTAAAATAAATGTACTTTTGGAGGGGTGTAATGAGACCTAGGAAGAGGTCTGGATGAGGAAATTTGCTCTTTTTAACTTATGTGGCTGAAATGTATGTATGGGCGAAGCGATGACCCTACAGAGTGCCAAATAAATGCTTAGCTCCATAAAGGAGTTCCTTCCCAAAATTTTCCCAGCTTTTGCCTTCTCAGTCCCTTTGTTTTGATAGGCACGTTTCTGAGACTTGCCAAATCACATGTGTGTGAGAAGTGGCTGCTGAGAAGAACAGAGCCTCCTGACTGTATTTTCTCCTAGTATCACAGTCTCAACTCAAAGAGCAAAGGAGAAACTCCGAGAGAGGCCAAAGAAATGTCACCACTGGCAAACAGTCCTAATAAATGCATAGATTTAGTGCCTTATTTATGTTGAGCTTTATTTAGTAAGCATACTTGCAGTCTAAACACTGGAACAAACATTTTTTTTTTTTTTTTTTTTTACTGCTTTAATAACTCCAAAGACCTTCCTAGTTGTAAAAGGTAAAGGCTTGCCTCATTCACTTACAATTCAGAGTCACGTTTCTTAGACTTGAATAAAGTGGTAATAATAAAACACCTACACAAACACAGGCAGATCTTTGAGTTAAGTGGCTTTTAGCATTGCCTTCAGCTAAGTGCGGTTGAAAAATTGTTCTCAGTGAAGTCTGGCCAAAACAAAATATCTCTCCCAGTGGCCCATTAGTTGCCTTCTTTCTTAAAATAATATACCCTTAAGTCATATACCTTCAGAGAATTTGCATACCTTGCCAACCATATTAAGATACTTTACACTGATATTATATTTGCCAAGAGATATTATTTCTTTGCCAAGGACATTTTCAGATGGGCTGTTTTACCAAATCTGGGAATGAGAATTCTGTACATAGTAAATCACTGAATGATCAAAAGAATTCCTTATATTGCCAAACAAGGAGCAAAAATAAAAACAACAAAAATAAAACAAAACAGAAAACATTTCTTTAGATGGCTTTCATGCTGAAGTGAACTATGTTGGCCTTTAACAGAGAAAGTGGCAAAAGAGGTTCAAACATCAGCAA